ACCTCCACTATTCGGCTAGCTTTCTCTTTCTTTTTTTTTTCTAGTAGTTTCTTTCTTTCCTTTCTTTCTTTACGTTGGCCTCTTTCTTAAGCCTTTCCTTTCTTTCTTCTAATTGGCAAACCCACCCCCCCAAAATCCTTAAAAGTCATAAAAAAAATCTCATTTTATTATTATAGACCCTTGGATGAGATCTCATCCAAGGGTTAAAGTTTCTCTTTTTTTTTTCAATGAATCATCTTTAACCATTGAATCAAAATCAATAAAAGATCTAGTGGTCCATATTATTCACTACAAATGTTGGATTTTTATACCCTCCAAACCCATGAAAATACCATTTTATCTCTAATGCAAAGTTTTCGATATTTAGGCCATTTTCTTAGAAATAAATGTTTTCATACTCATTTTTGGGATTTTAAAAGATCAAAAATCATGAAATATTATAAAATTGAGATCTAAAAAGTTTCATGAAAATTCAAGCTCAAAAAAGTCAAATTACGAAAATATCCTTATCTCTAATGCAAAATTTTCGATATTTAGGCCATTTTCTTAGAAATAAATGATTCCATACTCATTTTTGAGATTTTAAAAGATCAAAAATCATGAAATATTATAAAATTGAGATCTAAAAAGTTTCATGAAAATCCAAGCTCAAAAAAGTTAAATTACGAAAATACCCTTATAGAGGTATTTTAGTAATTTCACACTTTTCAGGGTACTACTGTGATTTCAAATAGACCAAAAATTATGAAATATTATGAAATTAAGATTTGAACAATTTCATAAAAATCTGAGCTCGGGAAGGTCAAATTATGAAAAAATTATTGTCGAGATATTCTAGTAATTTCACATTTTTTAGGGTATCGATATGATTTCAAATGCATAAAAAATTATGAAATATTATGAAATTAAGATCTAAAAAGTTTCATGAAAATCTGAACTCGAGAAAGGTAAATTACGAAAATACTTTTATAGGAGTATTTTGGTAATTTTACATTTTTCGAGGTATTGTTGTGATTTCAAATGCACCAAAAATTATGAAATATTATGAAATCAAGATCTAAAAAATTTTATGAAAATTTGAGCTCAGAAAGGTCAAATTATGAAAATACTCCTATAAGGATATTATAATAATTCATACTTTTCAAGGTACCACTGTGATTTCAAATGCATAAAAAATCATAAAATATTATGAAATTAAAATCTAAAAAGTTTCATGAAAATTCGAGCTCGAAAAAAGTAAATTACGAAAATACTCTTATAAGGGTATTTTGATAATTTCACACTTCTCAAGTACTACTGTGATTTCAAATGCATTAAAAATTATGAAATATTATGAAATTAAGATCTGAAAAGTTTCATGAAAATTCAAACTCGAAAAGATCAAATTACAAAAATACCCCCTAAAGGGAATTTTAGTTATTTTATACTTTCCCTAGTGTAATAAAAATTTTTAATGTTTTAAAATCACCAAATTTAATTCTAAACCACATTGATTCTAATTAGGTTGTGAATTTTGAGGATTGACCCTAGTTCTATTCATTTTGACCAAGTTTTATGCAATTTTGATCAAAGTTGACTTTGGGGTTTACTTATTTAATTTATTTTTTATTTTTCGTGCATTCACATGAAAAGGTATCATCCATATAAATCTCACATGAAAGAGTTTGATAGTAACCATAGGGGTTTTATTTTTCTTTGTTTATTAGGCTTAAATATCGATGCATTTTACAGGCTCTTTAAAGGGCCTTTTTACGGGCTTCAAATGAGCTTTGTTCAACCATGCTAAAATGTTTCGGATAAAATTCGGTATCTACAATGTGGGTAGATGTTTTATCCATTAATAATGTCATTTTTAATCCTTGCAAGAATCTGCTGCTTGTATTTGTTCAAGGAAACACTACAAAGAGTTAAAAAGTTGGTTCATTTTAGGGGATTTTCAAATTATGAATATTTGCAAACAACATTAGCTGAGGCTGTTCAATAGATTGAGTCTATGTATTTATGCTTTCTATTACCCTCATCATGCAATCGGTAAATATTGTTAATAGAGATTTTATCATGGTTGAAGCACACATCTTGTTCTGCTAACTCTTGAATATGCATAAAAGTTATGTAAATGTAAATATAAATGATTGATTCTTGAAGCAGAACTTTATATAAATGATTATTGCTTCCAAGAAAATGGGTTTTTCACTGGAATCACACTAATATATGTAGTAATTTAGACTTCCATCTTCATTTCATTTGCATTACCAATCTACCTTATTTCACTAGCATCTATGTCTTTAAGTCTTCCTATGTCTGTAACATACTACAAGGTAGCCCCTTGCTTGCCCTTCCCTCTTTTTCAATCTCTAATCATGGTCACACATTTCATAGGTTTTTATATTTAAATGAAAGTTGTAAATGCTATGTATCTTGTATTATCATTTCTAACATTGGTAGCAATTTAGGTTTGTATCTTGTTTTATTCTTCTATGATAAGAAGTTTTCTCCTTTTTTGGTGTAGGATGGCTCCACAGTTAGATCATCTTATCAGAGACTTATGAACATGGGTTTATTGATTATATTTTTTTCCAAATACTTGGTGACTCTACCTCAGATATTGCTAATGGTATAGGCATATCAAGGGGATTCATGCATAGTTTAAGCAACAGTACCAAGGAGTCTGTTTCTTTGGAATCTATTTTGCTTTCTGTTCTTGATGTTTATCATTGTATGGATCTATCTTTATATAAAGTGAAAACCATTTCTTTCTCTTCTTTGAATTTAACAAATAAAAGTCAAAGTGTTTTTCAGTTTTTAATGATTCAACCTTTCCTTTTTTAGTTTGAGTTTTTTGGGATGTTTTCTAACTCAATTTATCTTTTAAAAAAAAAAAAAAAACATTATAAAACAGAAAGGCCAAACTATTTTTATATTAAATGAAACAATTGACTCTGAAAGCTCTGGAAAATCTTTTATAATGATCGTTCGAGTTAATGATCTCCCATTTATGTCTATTTCAAGATCCATTTCTATAAACTTTTGGAATTTAAATCAATTAAAGGTAAATGTTTCTTCTTGTAGATCCTAACCACACTTATTGGGCTAAATAATTGATAAGACCTTTAACTTTATTGTTTCAGATGCTCAAGATTTTTAGATGTCAAATTAAGATTGATACAAAACCCAACTAAAAGAACCTATTCAAGTTGTATGGGAAAAAGCAAATATATATTGGATAAGTTGTTGTGATGATTCATGCACTTGACCTTTTTTCCTGCAATGCCGAAACCTTTGCTATCTGAATTTTCGTCTCCAATCACGTAATTCTATAGGAAAATTGCAAACATTCCTTGTAATTATATTTTTGTATTTACTTTAACAAAAGGTGCCTAAGCATTAAACGCTATGAAATTCAAAGAAAAAACAATTAAATTAACTAACTTTAATTAAAAGTTAGTATAATTTGCAAAGTTACCTAAATAGGGGCAGCAAAACTCTAATAGTAATGCGAAAAAGAAGATTTTTTTATTAATATTGCAAATAATTTCTTTAAATGAGCTTGAATATTTAATTCTTTTCATATTTGTATTTAATGTGAAATTCTTTTTTGTGACTCAATAAAAGTCTAACAATAAAAAAAAAGTTTAAATTACAATTTTTAAGAAGTCTAATAATAATAAAAGAGTTCAAATTATAATTTATCTCAATAAAAATTTAATAACAAAAAAAGTATTTTAATTAAAAGTTATTAAAAATTTTATTAAGGATATTTTGATCATTCATTACTATCACTTTTAGAGTTCATATTTTTATATATAAATGATATATATATATATATATATATGAAATAGCTGGAAGAGGCCAATAGAAAAATTAAAGAAATTTAGATTAAGGATATAGTAGTTACCATCGTGAGGATCCGTAAAAACAGAAATGAAGGCAACATGTGCAGAAAAGAAAAGCAGAAATACGAGCAATGAGATGGGTGGCATGGCTGCAACTTGGCTCTTGCTCTGCTCTGCTGCGTTTCAAACTCCACACTGATTCATTTTCAACCACACTTGCACAATGTGTTGTTGCTTGTGATGTAGTGTAAAAAAAATGTGAGTGATCATCAGCAGCAAAAGAGAAACAAGGCAGCGGCCTACCTTTCTTTTCACTGCTTCCCAACTTTGAAGCTAATGTAATAACCCCAACACTCGTTAAACAAAGCTATCATCATCACTTTTTATCCTTTTTCATTACAAGTATATATTCTAGAGCAATTAAAGTGTCACCGTCATCTTTTACCAATTAACATGACCATCTTTTAGAACAAAGTGCTTTCTCATCTTTTTACAACGCCCAATGGGATTCCTGGATCTGGCTTAGGAAATGATTTACAAGAATTATTGCTTGCTATGGAATAGATCACAGTAATTAATTTTCATTGAAGCAAGCAACTCTATGTTTTCCAATTTCATGTTAGTTGCATGTGCATTTTTTCATGTACATATGTCTTTTTTTTTCTAAATTTATGAAATGTTAATAATAAAATATATAAAACCAACATTAATTAAAAATATAATTCAAATGATTGTTTTTTTTTTTTTATGAATAATGATAAGTTATCTAAACCAAAATAAAGAACATATAAATAAAAAAAAAATACATACAAAAAATTTATAAAAAATTAAAGACAATAATATAAGAAATTGATAAAAGTTATCAAAACCCAAAATAAGTAAAGGTTACGAATTTAAGTTTGATAAAACAAATAAATATTAATATTTCTTGTTAAACTTAAAATATATTTTTGAAAAATAGAAAATAATAAAAAATATAAATATATTTTATATTAAAAAATTTTTAATTATTTCCTTTCTTTAATTTTTTTTCTCCTAATTTAAAATAATTTATAAAAAAAAAAGCTTTTAAAGAAAAGAAAAGAATATTCAACCGTCTTTCTTTTTCTTTATTTTGTTTTAAAATAAAAGTCGTAAAACTTTCATTTTTTCGTTGCTTGTCTTTCCTTTCCCTCCAGAGGCTTAAAGAGATTTTATGTTTTTGAAGAAGAAAAGAGAAGTTAAAAAAAAAAGTGCCGAAATCTGCCCAGAAAAGAAACACCGAAGAGGCGGAAAAACCCTAATACTAGTACGACTGGTCTTAGTAATTGTAGCGGTTTTTGTATGTAAAAAAGGCTCCCTACTCTCACTCTCTCACTGACTGTAACATTCACCAAACAACAAACACTGCACCCTTCTCTTAGTAAACCAAATGCCGGAGGCCCACACCATAGCCAGGCCACTCAAGAGACGTCGCAGGACTACCAGAGTCACCGCCGACCTCTCCCATTTCCTCGATTTTCCTTCCCCCGCCGTCACTGCCTCCGCTTCCGGAAAGCCTTTCCGCGACGCCGTCAGAAGCTTCCTCTCCACTAACGCCCGCCTGACCACGGCCTTTGCGCCGCCGCTCCTTCCCGCCCTGATGACGTGGCAGATCCTGTTTAGAGTTGATGATTGTTTTATCGATGCGGGCGATTCCTCGTCGATCGTCGTGGCGTTTTATGTCGTCGAGGAGGACGTCACGAGATCCTCTAGATCTGTCTATTGTGACCAGTGCCGAGTAGTTGGTGAGTCAACTCGCTTCCCCCACCCGGGTCAGGTCGAGTCCACTCTAGTTGTGCATGTTTACATCGCATTCCTGTTTTAAGTATGATGAAAAATCAAAACCAACCAAAGAAAAGAAAGAAGTTTTCTTAGAGAAAAAAAGAAAAAGAAAAAGAAAAGAAGGCTTATTAATTACATAATGAACAAAAAAACACCACATGTGATGTCTAATTAAATTTTTTTTCTTGGGTTGTGGCAATGAAAAAAAAAAAAAAAAGAATAGGTTGGAGCGGTCATCCAGTTTGCAGAAAGAGATATCATTTTATAATAAGGTGTTGTGATAACGCCATCAATGATAAAGAAAACAAGTCATGTCCAGGATGCGCCAATCTTCTGCATTTCTTAGAATCAAGGTCACAATTTTCAACTTACTTATCTTATCAATTTTTTTCAATTTTGCTTGTGAATTGTGGGATTGATATGATAATGATATTGGTATAGGAGGTGCAGGCGTTGTAACGGTGGGGATGATGATGTTGAAGAATGGGAGTATTCACAGTTTCAAGACAATACTCATTTGCTGCATGGAATTGTTCACTCCAATGGTTATGGCCATCTTCTTATTGTCAATGGCAGAGAAGGAGGCTCCAACCGTCTCTCTGGTTTTCAAATCATGAACTTCTGGGATAGACTCTGTACAACTCTCTCTGTCAGGTTTGGATGCCACCTTATCACATTAATTAATTTTAGTTCTCTTGTTAATTCATTATCCAATAATTTGTTTTTCTTGCTTTGTTTCTTCGCTTAATGAATTTTAGTTTTGGATTCTCTAAGCAATACACAAAGCTGTAAAGAATGAGGAAAGTAAACATAGAAATGGGAAACAATTTTGTGAGTAGAGTTTTTTTTCCTTCCTTCCCCTCACTCTTTTAAAGCTCTCTATATGATTTATGACTATGTAAAAAGATGTTTTGAGTTTTGACATATGTCTGCTAGTTGTAATAATAAATAGAAAATTAGATATCATTACAAGTTTGCTCCGTCCTCCATATGTTATGGTATTGTATACAAAATATCAGGAATAGGTAGGACCACTCAATATTACTGCTGTTTCGCAGATCTTTCCACTAACTTACTTTAATTTTGTCAAAAGGGAAAAGGGAAAAGGAAAAAGAAAAAAACTATACTTACTCATCCAATGCACTCATTTCGCTCACATAAAATTTTGTTTTCGAAATTCTATTATAACCCATAGAGATTTCAAGGCTTTTCACTTAAATCCCTAGAATAAAACTTGAAAATAGGTGAGTGTATAATTTGAGTGTAATATGTTAGTACATGGCCTTTTTAATCCTCATATACCATTGTACATGCCTTTAGAACCATCACCATATTCCTACATTACTTTTCCTGACCTGTTAACACAAACACAATTGCTACTGTATCATTATGTTCAAATCAGTCTAGATTTCTCTTTTTCTTCAATAGAGTATTAAAGACTCTTGAGAACTACCATAGAATGTTTCATTAATCCTGCTTTCCAGTCATTTTGTTGAACAGAAAGGTAACTGTGATGGATGTATCAAAAAAATATGGAATGGAATACAGGCTACTTCATGCAATTACCAGAGGTCATTCCTGGTTTGGTAACTGGGGTTATGAATTTGGATCAGGAAGCTACGCCGTCACACAAGATGCTTACAAGAGAGCAGTGGATCAACTTTCGAGCATGCCCTTGTCCACACTTTTGTTCCAAGGGTGTAAGTCCCATACTCGCCTTCAGAACATCATTACCTTTTATCAGTCCTTATCATGTTCAGAACTTTCAACACTGAAGGATCTGTTTTCATTCCTCCTAAAACTGATCACTGAAAGCCATAAGACCTCAATGCCTAAAACATCTAAAATGTCAGAATCTTCCACAAATGTATTGTGTGCATGGACAAGAAATGATGTAGAATCTTTGCAGAAAGCTATGATTAAAGTGCTAATGGCTGCAGCTGTGGGTTTCAACTGGGTGACTAGGCGTGCTCTTAAGGGTGTCATGTGCAAGGCAGCCTCCTCTGAACTTCTTGATTACTGCCTTAAGCACTTGAGAGGGAAATTGACAGCCAATGGCATGGTGGTTGAAGCCCGTTGCAATCCAAACTCCAGTGATTTTGAGTTCAGGTGAGGCAATTTCAATTTTGGTTCACTTATCTTCTGTTTACTGGATCGTTGGAGCTAACAAATGTCTTATTACAACATTGGCCAAATAGGCTTCAGCCTCTACGCTCTTTCCAATATGAATCTAGCATGGACTCAAATTGCCCATCAGAAGAGCACATCAAAGGTGATTTGAAATTTTTGTTGGACTCTTTAATCCTACCTGAAACCTTGTTAACTTACCTACCTCAAGCTACAAGGGGATGTGTGATTGACTCGACTACTAAGCTTCTTGATTGCAAGCAATTTGTGAAAGACTACAAACCATGTGCTTACAATTCCTCTGCTATCTGCACTTGGTGTCATTTAGAGCTTTCTGACCCTGCCAATGATGATCCAGTTCCTCCACCTGAACTGATTGTTTTACCTCGTGATGCTACCATTGGCGACCTTAAAACGGAAGCTACAAAAGTTTTTGAAGAGGTATATGCAATGTTTAAAAGGTTTCAAGTCAAGGATCTTCTAGACTATGGTTCCGTAAAGGACAACATAACTCTGAAATTATTGGTTGGCACAACTGGATCAGTTCGAGTTCAAGGAAGATGTGCATCAAAACATGGACTCAACCGTTTCCGGATGGAGAGGGGAACAGAAAACTGGACAGTTGACTGCACTTGTGGGGCAAGGGATGATGATGGTGAGAGAATGTTGGCTTGTGATATGTGTGGCGTTTGGCAGCACACAAGGTGTGCTGGAATTGACAATGCTGATGCAATACCTGCAAAGTTCACATGCATGAGATGTACTAACTCCTTTCATAAGAAATCTGTAAGCATCCCAAGTTCTGGAAAGGAAGCTAGAAGGTTTTCTCAACTTGACACAACATGTAGGGGGGTAGTAGGAAGTGATGGTCCTCAAATAACTACTACCTTGATTGTACGTTAAATGTATGTATATTTGTGTGTAAACACGTAAATAGTTGCCCTTTAGCTTAAGGGCGGGGGTGGGGGGGGGGGGGGGGTCGGCGATTGTTGTTACAGGGCTTTTTCTCTCCTACCTTTTTGGATTATATTTTGTCCAAGGAATTTGCGTAGGATATTTAAATTTAAAAAATGAAGAAAAAACAATTTCCAATTTACTTGAGGAAGGATTCGTATTATTTAAACAAAGTGGTATGATTGTAAAAGCTGTTACATATTTATTTTGCAACTTTTTTCAGTCTTCTTGGCAACTAGTGTCACTGTTTGTTCCATTACACTCCTTTAACAAGTCATTAGTTCCTTGTTGAGCAGGGGAAACTGTCTTGGAGATAGAAAGGTGTCTAACAGCGTTGCACAAACTATTATACTTTGTTACCAAATCTTTGTACAAACTTAGTAATCTCTCCACATCACCCACTGTCAATTCACCAGCCTCAGCTTCCATGTAAGGATAATTTGACCCACCTGGTCCAACATCAATTTGACAAATTTTATTATAGGGTAAAGAAATCCAATAAAAAAATAATCCATTAGTCATGGATTTCAAACTCACTGTTTAAATTAGTTTCCCTTCCGTGCATTAATGTTGATGGCCCAGGATCTGTCAGGTTTCCAAATGTTGATCTCTTATCTAAGGTGGGTAAGGTTACTTGGGGCACTCTGTCAATTAATCTTGCAGCTTGCATACTCTCCTCAAATTCAATTTCTTCAATTGAAAGAGATTTGGCATTTAAGTCTACAATGAAGGACTTGGCTGAGACAAGATTTGTGAGAAAATAAGCTGCTTCTGAGATAAGTTTGTCCTGCCTCCGGTATAATTGGATGAATTTGAGGTTGGAATGCAATTGTGGAGGATTGGCCTGTCCATGAGATTTAGCTAGCTAACATTAACGGGAATTAATCATTAAGCCTTCAAAGCAACAAAATAATCTGCAGTCAACAACTTTACAATAAACATGAGAGTAAAACTTGAAGATCTTGTTTGTTTGATTGGAAAACGTCAACTAATAACCTGCGTTGACGACCATCCTTAATAACTCTTGAGCAATAAGTGCATAATGTTGACAAGACACTAACATAGGATTAACAATATGGAATTACTTTACAATCATTTATTCACTATGAAAACACAGTCTGATCCAAAGTGATTTGGAAAACAGATTGATTTGGTTCCTGGAATGCAACATTATCTTCCTAGAAGCCTGGTAGACTGGGATGAGTATTCTTCAATTTTTGACATCAAGTCCACTTGCCAGAAAAATATGAATTCAACAAAGAGCTAACAAAATAAAATAAAAGTAAAGCATAATCTGTGACCAAAAAGACAAACAACTCAAGAATAATCCTTGCCCCACCACCCCCCCCCCCCCCAAAAAAAAAAGGAAAGCATAATCCAATAATAAGACACAAAATAATAATGCCCTAATCCCAAAACTGATTGAATTTTCTGATGCATCACACTGAACAATCTGTGATTAAGATTGCATTGATACTATTCAAAATTCAGTGTTATCTGCAAATACTTCTAACCTTTGAATGGGAAAACAATTGGAAGCATTAGGGTTTTCTCAATATCATTTCCAAAAATATGCTATTGACTTGATCCACTTATGTCTTCTTTCTAAGAAAACATTGAAAAGGCTTTTTTTTTTTTTTTTGAGAAACCCAATGATCACTTGAATCAATTGAAGACTGAATAATATTAAAAATCATGCCAATGCAAATATAAAAAGATGAATTATTAAGGCATCATAATTACATACTTCATGGTCAAAAGTACCAAATGACCTGCACTTTTATCAATGATAACTATTTCATACTGAAACAGCAGACTATACGCCACCACCCACAACCACTCATGCACACACACAAAGGATAACAAGAGAAGAGCTATTACTTGAGAGATAATTGCAACCATCTGCAACAGGATCAAAGGATCAAAGGTTTGTTTCTATAAAGAACATGGGAACATAGATATTGATGAGACCAAGCAAGGTAGAAGGTCAAGAAAAATATTTGTACATGACAGGCAATGTTTACTTCAGAATGAGGAACTAAAGATATCAAGAATTTCCAGGAAGAAAAAAACATGGTGCATTTTCCAAAAGAAGTATTCAACGTCAAGAATATGTAAATTGACCATTAATTCTCAGAAGCTGTATGATGAAAACAAAAATCATTCTAACACAAATCATACTTTGCAATGATGGGACTATGACTGAAAATGTGAGACACAAGAATCCACAATTTCAAATGAGAATGATGATTAGTAGAATGGCTTATTACCAAGGAGAGCTTGCCTTGATCGTAACATATATAAGAACGGGAAGAAAATCATCTGCCCCTCCTAGAACATGATCTTCTGAAATCGATGCATTGAGAAGTAAATTGTTGATGACCCTACAACAATTCATGATACACAGAAGCTTCTCACGAGGCGCTTTGAAAGCATTGATCTTTTTTAATTCTTTCTCTGCTAGCTGGGGACAGAAGGAAAAGTATGACTACTTATTAGGAGGAAGTATCATCAAATAACTAATACTTAACCAAACAGAATGAAAGCTCCGCATTACAAACAAAAGACAAAGTCCAGACACCAACTTTCCAATGCACTCACATGATCAGCAAAATATCTCAACACTTATAAAACTAAACAATATAGAAAAACAGAACTATGCAGTCATAGTCAACCTAAGTCCAAAAGCAATATAATTTCCCATTGACATCCAAACAAATGGAATTTTCTTTAGATGATTTGTCACCTGAAAAAAAATTACTGTGATGTGATGCAGATTGCAAAAACCTGATAGTACAGAAAGTAAGAAGATGATGTGTTCCCTAACTCACATTTGATATCAACCACAATCTATATAACTCTTCCCCAAATACTACAGTTTTTTAAATGGTTAACTACTCTAGCATCGAGATTCAACAACAGGTCAAATGGTTGAAGTGAACCAATCTAAAACTAAAATCTGGAACCCTTTTGTATACTTTCCTTTTTTTCTTTTCTTTGTAAGATAAAGTCAGGAACTTTTGAGATTATGAATTTTGCAAAAGAAAGTTAAACTTTTTGAACCAGTTTGTCTCCTCATAAAAAGGTGTGGAGTGGATTAACTGTATTCTATCATATTATCTAGCATCAATTCTTTTTTCAAAGCTTTTTCTTTTGGAAGGTAATAGGGTACACTTTAGGCGATGTTATAGTCTTTTGAGGGAAAAGTATTACAGGGTTTTTCATTCATGCTGTACGCCACACCACGCTAGTTTTTAATGTTAATGAACCATTGATCATTTAATCGAAGCCATGATGCTAAATTCTAAAACACTTTAGTTAAGTCATTTATTCATTGAAAAATAGCAATGCCACAGCAGAGTTAGGCTGAAAATAAGCTTCCTAACATCAAAATCCACATAAATGCTCAACATCACAGCAACAAGACATATCTGACTAGAGATTTACCAGTGCATAACTGTAAAAAAAAAAAAAAAAAAAAACATAAAATAGCATAGCAGGTATACCAGCCATGAAGCTTCATTTTGAAGAACTGGCGGTATGTCCAAATGTTGAGGCCTCAAGAAGGTCTGCAACAAGCATATCTTGTCAGAGATCTCTCCATCCATCTTGACATCCTCAGCAGAGGAAGCAAACGTCCGCGAATGTAGTTTAGTCATCACGTATTTCTCCAGGCCCTGAAGTAATAGCATTTGCAAATAGTTGATAAATGAAAAGCATTTGCAAAAATAAAATATGAAATGGGTAACCTCACCTCCAAGGCGTTGTCGATTTCTGCATCAGAGGCACCTGTCCATAAAGGATGATCCCTTATAGCAGCTTCCATAGTCAGAAAAAAGTCTTGTATCCTTTTCCCATCATTTTCAGGGTTTGCCGCATAAAACGAAAATGACACAATGAAGCTGAAACAAATGCTAATTGGTAAGTTGAATTTTTAATTAAAAAATACAAATAAAAAACCAAAAATAAAAAACGAAAGAAAAAACCTCTTGATGGAGCGAACAAGATCGAGAGAAGCAGGGTTTCGCATTCGCTGGAGAAAAGAGTCGAATGGAACTGAGTGAGTCGTCGTCTCCATTTCTCTTATTGAATAACAAAGAATTGAACCAAAAACAAACCAGAGTCTCCTTTCGATGGATTCCGATAGCAATAGGCAATAACATAGAAATAGATAGAAATGAAGTAAGCAGCGCAGCAACCATTCCAATAAGCTTCCCAAAGACTGTTAGGTTTGTGATATATTAAGCTACTAGCAAATTTCTCTCTCTTAAATAGATTTCTCTTTTATAAAGTAAAAAAATCCATCATGAATAGAAGGTTGAAGAGATTCCCTTTTTAGGACGTGAAATTTGAAAAGAATTATTATGTTTGTTATGAATATTTGTGTCATTTCATAACATAGAGTATTGTTTTCTAAGAATTCGCTAGTGTTTAAAATTAAAACACCTTATAAAATAATCTTGGTATTCCTTTATTTTTGGTTGAAGAAATTGTTTAATTTTCAGAATAAAATGTATTTCATTTGATCATTTAAAAATAATAGTTAATAATTATAGATTTTTGGATGTACTGTATTGACATCCTAAAAACAATGATTATAGATTTTTTATTGACAAAATTTGAAATAAATAAATTACTCAATTTTTAAAATAAAATATATTATATTTGATAATTTAATATTAATAAATATAAATCATGCATTTAAGATAATATTAATAAAAGATTATTAATTGAATTCAAATTTAAAATTTTTATGTCGAGAATAATAATCTTTATTAATTGAGTTAATTTCTTATGGTAATCTTGGTATGCCTTTAGGAGTGAGTTTAAAAACTATCCTCTTAGACCTTCATTAGACATTTTTTTATATAACAAATTTTTTATAATTTTCGGACTTGAATATTGTCGAAGTTTGCCAGTAATCAAAACCTCAAAACCGAGCAAGGACCTCGCATGGACCTTAAAAATTTCGGATGAGCCAAACCTCAGTTGGCATAGCCCATAAACCTGTGTGCAGCCTTCAATGTTTATCTACAATGGTTGAGTGATTCTAAACTTTTGACTTTTGACCTTATTCTTTCGTACTTTATTATTACCAAAAAAAAATACAAATGAGTAAACCAAAAACATTAATTATTCTTTTTTTGCTTTCTTTTTATAAGAGCAAAGAGTAAATTTCAATTCTCAAAGTAGTAACTTTTATTGATCAGTAGCTTCACTGACACTTCCACAAACACTTGTAACCTGCTACAGTTTGCATGGCGGTAATGGAGATCCACACAAACAGTCATTTCCCACAAATGAAGAAGCAGGAAATTTGGTGTTGGGAAGCTGGCCGCACAGATGATTATAACTTGCGTTCAATTTTTCCAAACCAGTGACAGCCTTAGGAACCTTGCCATACACCATATTCCGGGATATATCCAACTGTTTCAGTGTCTTAACAATTCTCAATTTCTCCAAATCAAACCTCAACTTGTTCCCCGAGGCCTTGAATTCCACCAAGTAAACTGTCCTATTCAATAAACCAACAGGGCTACCTGATATTTCATTATCCGACAGATCAAAGTAGTCATAAAAGTAAGTTTCCTTAGGATTCCAACTGTCTAAGCTTATTTTAATCCCACACTTGGCTAGCTTAAGTGAATAAATTATTGGAGATGACGTAACCCATTTTGGGATTTCCTTGAGATGGAACTTGTTGTATGATAAATCCAGTGATTCTATACCTTTCACGTTCATCTGAGGAAATGGGTCGGTTAGAACATTGTGAGAGAGGTCCAGATTGAAAATTTTTGTTAAGTTTGAGAAGCTTTTAGGTACTGCTCCCGTGAATAAGTTCCACGAAAGATCTAACGTGTCCAGTGCCCTGAAACTTCCAAGAAAACTTGGTATTTTCCCTAACAGACCATTGTGGCCTAGCTCAAAATACATCAATCTAGGTGCTAGAGATGATATTGATTCTGGGATATGCCCGGAAAACGCATTACGTGAAAGTACAAGACTTCTTAGATTGGTGAATGATGTGAAAATATCTGGAATGGTGCCCGAGAGCGTGTTTTTTTCCGAACTTAGAAAGGTAAGGTTCCTAAGCTGTTTGATACCAGTCGGAAACCGGCCAGTGAGAAAATTTTTGCCGAGGTTCAGCTGAATTAACTGAGTCAACTCAGAGATTGAACTGGGTATGGGTCCGGTAAACCGGTTCCCAGCTAGACTCAGTGCCTCAAGTTGGGTTAGCTTACCGATGTTAGCAGGTAATTGACCCGAAAGCTTGTTGTTCTCAATGTAAACAAATTTGAGTTTGGGTAATCCGAAAAGAAGATCCGGGAATGTACCCGAAATGTTTCTTAGATTTTGAAGGTAGATGCCGTCTAGATTTTGGAGTTTTAACAGGGAGGGAGAGATTGTACCCGATAAGGAGGAGTTGGGTTTATCGAGTTGGCCGAAGAGAGAAATGCTGGTGACCCGATTGTTGAAAAGGCAAGAAATACCCGCCCAACTACAACAATCTGTACCCGGTTTCCATGTATTAAGCATGCCTGATGGATCCTGGGTGATGCCCGATTTGAAGGCTAACAGACCATTTTCATCATCCACGTGGCAGATTGCTTTGATATGAGGGACGGTGAGGATGAACAAAAGCAAAAGGAAGGGGAAAGGGAAGTAATGCGAGAAAAAAAGCTTCATGCTTTGTTTCTTTTCCTAAAGTGGAAGGGAGGGGAAGAGTTTGAAGGATGAAGTTTTGGGTAGGAGTGGAGTCTATTTTATAAGTTCCAATTCCAAAATATTTGTATTTAAAAAAAGATTAATTTTGGGTTAGTTTAAAAGTGTAAACTAAATTATTTAAAGAAAATCAAAATTGATGTAAATGATTAAAGTTTAGAGTTTGGTTATAAAATATTCAAATTTAAATTTATGCATTTAAATTTTTTAAATTTTTAATTAGGAAGTGGTTTACAAATTTAAAAAGTTTTAAAAAATCAATAAATTTTTTATGTAAATTGATAATTTAATTTGATTTTGAAGATAAAATAAATTTTTTTTGTTTTAAATTATTTTTAAAAAAAGTAATAAATTGAATAGTACAAAATATAAGTGCGCTGCGGAAGAGCAAAGATCGTTGTGGTCAAGCCAAAGGCCACTTGCTATGAATGTGGGATGGGGGTGGTCGAGGCTGAAGCAAAGATTGTTGTGGTCAAGTCAAGACTGTCGGCTAACGTTGCTGGTCAAAGTACGTTACTTCGGCTCACTCCGCGTTGTACATTAAGTAATTAAACTTAATAAATTTATAAATACACTCAAGTTCCCCTTTAAGTATTTAAATTTGTTTTAATAATTCAAGTTAGTCGAACTCAAACACCTCGACAATAATTTAATAAAATTCAAATAATTTTTTAACCGTGCTTGAATAGCTTAGTGAATAGGGTTAACAATATCCATAGTTTTTAAACTTTAATTCTAGTTTTATTTTAATTTTTTATCTTCAAAATATTTTAATCAAATTTTTAATTATTTAAAATTATTTTATTTTAATCATTTTATTTATGTAACCATCTAAATTGACCTCAAATATTAATTAGTATCATGTTATGATGTTAATTGATATCTTGTGTGATATAAGAGAGATCAAAATAAATTTTTTTTCAAAGTTTAGATATTAAAATTAAAACTATCTTAAAAATTTTATATATTTTATAAAATTTAAAGTTATATTTTTATATTTTTGTAATATAATTTATTAATTAAATTTTTTAATATAAAATAGATTTTCAAAAATTAAAATTAAGTTAAAATTTTTTAAATTTCAATTTTAAAAAATTAATATCATTTTAAAGATAAAAAAATATTTTCTATATTAAAATATTCTTTTACTCATAAATCATAATAAAAAATATTATTTTTATTTTAAAAAATCTATTTTTTAAAAATATTAATTTTTTTTCTTTTTTCTTTTTCATATATATATATATATATTATAAAACATGTTTTGTAAAAAAGAAAACAAAAAAAAACAATTAAAGAAAAATTGATTTTTATATATTTGGAATATATTTTATAAAATATTATGATTTAAAATATTTTCATTTTTTATTATATGATTTATCAATAAAATAATATTCTTTATAGAAAATAGATTTTTAAAATATTAAAATTAAGTAAAAAATTTCTAAAGTAATTGTTTAAAATTCCATATAATTTTTAAAAGATTTAGTAAAACTTTCTATATCAATTTAAAAAATTAAATAAAACCACCATACTGTTTTAAAACATTGTGTAAAAATTTTCATGTCATTTTAAAAAATAGATTTATTAATCTATTCAAAAATTTATTTTCTATAAAAAAAATCTAATTTGAATCATATAAAATAAAAAAATATAGTTTAAATTTTTTATTTTCATGAAATATATTTGTAAAAGAAAAAATAGAAGATATTTAATCTTTCTTGGCCTTTTGGGATCCTCAGTTAGTGAAAAGAAAATGAAATAGTGGAGGAAAAACGCCAACGACAACAAAAGAGCAAAACATCGACGGAAATGATAGTTGCTAACAACGGCGGTTGAGTTTTCCCAAATTGGGACTCATGAGAAAGAGGAGCACAAATAGGCAAAGAACATATTGAAATTCCAACTCGATTAGTGGGGCGTGGAAATAAACAAAGTTTTCGGTAAATTATTTGTAAATATATTCAGTTTTTGTTAGTTTATATGCATTTATTAAATTTAACAAATGATTTTAAATAATATTTTTATATTTATTTATTAAATTAATCGAATAATAACAAAAATCTTTTCGATTTATTTATATTCGCAAACAAACTCGTTTAAAATTTATTTATTGTTTGTTTGCTGGTCGTTTATAATAATATTAATAAAATTACATTTTTATCATTTATCTTAAATCTATTTTAAGGTTCACTTATATTTGTTTAAGTTAGTTTATATTCGTTTAAAGTTTATTTGTTTAAATTTATTTGTTATAGTTCGTTTATTATTTATTAATATGTTCGTTTATATAATATGTTCATGAACATATTCGCTTGATGTTTACGAACGAGCTTGTTTAACTAATTGACCCAAATATGAACCGAATACAAACTGAATACGAACATCTTATCATTTAAATGAATCAAGTTCGAACAAATAAAACAGTTTTTTTTTTAACACTAACTGAGTCCAAATACTTCTAAAAATAAATAAACAAACTACAAATATACATTCATTAATTCATATTCAATTCATTTATAACTCCATAGATTGGAGTGGTAAAGGCCAACATTCTATAGGGTTTTAAGCCGAGACTTTGATAGCAGATTTAGGGCATTAAAGAATGATTTTTGAAAATACAAAATTAGATATGAGATAAAAAAAAACAAACAAAATGAGTTTTATGGTAAGTTTTTGGAACGATTTGGCAAAGGTGGTTGGCAACGTGTAGTGACAAAAGTGACGGGACGGTGTTGTAATTTGAGAAACTTAAAGGTACATTGGTCGATAAGCAATAAAAAGGATAGGCTTAGAGAGAGAAAAAGTATTTGAAGAAAATGAAATTAAAAACAAAAGGGTTTTAGTATTTATAGAAGGCCCGAATGACACTTGTTAGAGGCATTTGATGGTCAAAAGAGTATAGTAGTCTTTTTTCCTCTCAAAGCATTCAGCAAACAACCAAGAGTATCTTCATCATTTGTGCCGACCTAACCTGACATAATCAATGTCACCTCAGTTTAGCCTTGTCCTAATTGTCCCCTTATGGTCCCTCTCAACTTACTATAAGTAAAAAGACTTAGGCATCATAAAGCCAGGTTCATTCCACTCACTTCTTTCTCTCCTTTCTACTTTTTGTGAACCTGATCTTTACTGACTTGCGCATCATGGTGCAAACATAGGGAACACCCTCTGCCTTTATCTCTAATCATTTTTTCTTTCTATACTTGCAGTAATTCCCTCAGGTCAAAGCTCGGCACTAACATTTGACGTGCTATGTAAAAGACATCTTGTATTAGCTGAGCACAAAACAGTGCCACCAAGAAAAAGAACCTAAAAGGAAAGAGAGGTAGCTACTTTGGCTGGAATAGAAACTCACTTTAGCCAACATTCTATCCGTCAGCTCAACCATAGGCAAGACTAACCATTGAACAATTTCAAGCCCTAACAGAACAAATATAAACTCTTAAACAGATGCTATAAATAATAATCCCACCACAAGTCTCAAAAGTGCTAGACTTAGTCACATGTAGTAGAAAAGCCCCTCTCAAACAATCGAGCCTTCAAAGAAGAAAAACACACAAACCCAATTCATCATTACCCCAAACACAATCTCACACATGTCACAACCTAAAAATCCAAACAAAAAAACCATGAATTTAAACTGAACAAAAATTGGGAAGCTTGGATGCAAGCCATGAAAAAATAGCTGAAAATGAAGGCAATGACATTTGAGAATAAGCTCAAGTTCTTAGAGACCTTACCTTTTACTGAAGAAATTGACAATGCTATGCCTTCCAAAAGATTTAAAATGCCAACTTTGGAGATATATGATGGTACTTTCAACTCATTTGATAATTTAAAACTTTATAGAACTAACATAATGATGTAAGGTGCAAATAAGGCTCTTATGTAAAAAGGTCTAACCACTACGTTAAAAGGTATAGCTCGGTTCTAGTACAACGGCTTAGAGCCAAGGTCAATCATTACATTCAAAAAGCTCAATCATTATTCCTATCTAGTTTTGTAAGTAACCAAAAAGTAAAAAAAATGACCTTGAGATTGATGTCAATTCACCAAGGGCAGAATGAAACTTTGGAAAACTATGTCACGCGTTTTAACATAGAAGCTCTACAAGTTAAGGAGCTAAAATAAATAGCTACTATTGTTGCACTGACAAGTGGACTCAATGATAAGGAATGCCTTTTCAAACTGACATTATTGCTAGAATCACCAAAAACTATGGTCGATGTCTTACTAATAGCAGAGAAATACATCAATACTAAAGCTACAATGAAAACAAACTATGGTGAGAGAGGCTTATCCCCCTCTTCGATGGTCAAGATGAGAAATGCTCATCCCTCTTCATCGATCGTAAAAATGGTAAAGATTTCTATAATCTCCCCCAATAGAGAGATGATAAAGTGATAAAAGTCCTAGTGGAGAAAGAAGTTATACTACACTAAATACCTCTCGTGAGAGGATTTCGATACAAATTAAAAGAAATCCCGACATTAGATGGCCTAAGTCACTGAGATAGAACATAATGAGGCATTCGACAAAAATTATGCCTTTCATAGGGACATCAATCATAATACTGAAGATTGTATTGACCTAAAAAATAAGATTAAAGCTTTAATAAGACGAAGTTAGTTGAGGATATTTATGAAATAAAGAAGATAAGATCGACCTAGAATGGACTACAGATAAGACCATAAAATGCCTAGTTGGAGCAGAAAGGAAAAAGTAGAACAGGGAAGAAGAGATGCCTAAAAAGAAAAGTTGAATTAAGAATAAGGTTGATCTGACAATAGTAGGCTAACTACCGAAGTGATTAACGTGATCACAAGTAGTAGCTCTATCTTGACAAAAAAAAAATTTAACCCGGGCATAGTAATGGTAGTAGGCACCTTAGTAAAAAAAAAGACTAGAGAGACGAGTCGATCTCATTTAACTCTGAAGATTTGAAGGGAATCCAAGACCCATACGATAATGCCATTGTGATCATAACTTTGGTGTATAACTATGTGGTCAAAAGAATTCCATTTGATAATAAGAGTTCGATTAATATTATGTACCATGGTTATTTGAGAAAA